GGGTTTAGGGTTTAAGGTTTAGAAGTCTCGGAAGAAGGAGCCTTTCGAAGCAGGCAGAGGCCCCGGTAGACGGGCACCAGACACCGGGGAGTCTCCGAGGACTCCGACGCCGAGCCCCCTCTTTCCAGGCGCCCCGAGGTGTTGAAGAAGACTTTCGAAACGAAGGCCTCCTCTAAGAAGCGGAGGCCAAGGAAAGCCACAAAGAGGCCTCCCAAAGCCCTCTGCAGAGCTCTGCGCTTCATCCCATGAAAAGATTTCTGCGGCTTCTGCGGACCCCGAAACCCTAAACGGCCCTAAACCCCAAACTCTACCTTAGGAGACGCGCCAGGCAACGGCCGCGGTCTCCTAATCCTTGAACATCGAAGTCAAGAATGCAAGCCAGTGCTTGGCCTTTAGGGTTGAAGGTTCAGGGTTTAGGGTTCTTCAAAACTCTTGCTCAGGCTCTCCTTCTTTTGGGGTAATTGGGAGTCATATACAGGAGCTGAACCCCGAAACCCAGCAAACTGGCAACACTGAAAATAACAATAACACGAATAAGAATAACAATAGTAACAACTAGCCATTTAATAACCACAAATAACAACAACCATAAAAACCCTAGCAGTAATTCTGTCATGCCAGTAAAGATGAAATGTCGCGCATGATCAAGCAGGCCGTCATGCATCCTGAACGCTGGCACTTCACGGCTCCCAGCCCAGCCCCACCTTTCTGGCTCCCTGTTGGGGCTATATTACAAATGATCATGTTTAATCCTTATTGGGTTTTATTATAAACAAACATGTCAAATTGTGTCCAACAAGGACCCAGCTTTAGGATTTGGCCTTTCGGGTGTTGGGATATGGGTAGTTCTCTTTACTAGGGTCCCTTTTAGTGTCCTTTTTTCATAAGGGTGCGCCGTACTATATTGGGGACCTAAGAAAGGACCCTAGTTTAGAGAACGGCCCCATCTGGTACTTCTATCTTACAGCTGGGGCCAGCACATCGTCATCGTCCAGCCTCTCGAACTTGCCAGCCTCGCAGGTCCCAACGCCCAATTTGCGCCCGGAAATACGAAAAGAATCCCAAAACTACAGGCTATCGGGACATGAGGTTTTCCCGGTTTAGGAGGCGGAGTTTCCTTGGGACTTCCTTCGTATTTCGAGAAAATGCAGGGTTGAGGGTCTAATGTAGCAGGCTCAATAACTAGAATAGGGTTTTGGGGTATATTCTACAACTATAATAAGGAACCCCCAAAATAGTACTAGTCAGTATTTAGGCCCCTACATTACTGCCGGTTGAACGGGTTTGGTTGGGGAATCTCCGGGGTTTAAGGGGAGCCTTGGCAAGAGTCAAAGGGCTTGGGCCTCCTCCCCCCCGGTATGTTCAGGGTTTAGGGCTTAGGGTTCAGGGTTTAGGGTTTAAGGTTTAGGGTTTAGGGTCGGGGTTTAGGGTTTAGGGTTTAGGGGGACTGGAGGGACACGTCCAATCCATGACTTAACGATGATGATGGTAGTCTAGCTCCCTAAACACTAGAACCCGGACTCTTTAGAACCAGGCAACCCTACCCTAAACCCTAAACCCCTAAACCCTAAACCCTAAACCCTACAAATGCCCAAGGAACAGCCCATCAAGAGCAGCTTCGAACCTAAAAACACCGAATGCCTCGACCCCAACAGATCGAAGCAGCGTCCAAGCTCAAAACCCTGCTTCTTCACACATTTTAGGGTTTAGGGCTTCGGGAGAGATATGATTCCCTTATAGTCCCTACATAACTATACCTAAACCCCAAACCCTAAACCCTAAACCGTGTTCTACTTTGGGCTGTGGATCTCCGGGTTCCAGCTTCTCAAGTCGGATTGTTATGTCGAGGCGGGCTGGAAGACTTCCATGCTGCTTGGTGGTTCAAAGTTTCGGGGTTCGGGCATACATTTGGTCTTTGGGGTTTAGGAATTAGGGTTTAGGGTTTAGGGGTTTAGGGGTTGAGGGTTTAGGGTTAGTTATGGGATCAAAGCTAAAAATCTCAAGATGATTTGGTGTCCAACCGCTACGGCGCCTTGCCGGCATAGCGATCATCCTCCTCGCCCCCGCGTCCCTTCAAGGAGACAGAGGTACAACGTGCTTGGTGAATAACGTGAATGATGACGACTTCAGGGATCGGAGAAGCTTGGGTTTAGGGGTTTAGGATTTAGGATTTAGGGTTTAGGGTTTAGGGGGTCCGACAAGGCGTTCGATTATGTGGGAGTTTGGATTAGGGGGACCCTTGGGGATATAGACCCTCTCAGTGGTCCCCGTTAAGAGAGCCGTAAGCAGGGTTCAGAAGGGTCCCCTTTAAGGCGTCTCCCCGTTGCATGCGTCTTTTTGTTGGGCTTGGCTGTGGAGAGGACGGGCATGTTGCAGGAACCTACGCGCCAAGCCTGCACCTTAACATCAAAATAGCCCAAAAAGGCTTATATAATAGGGTCTTTGGGCCCACAAAACCCTTAAAATATGAGTCCTTTGAAATATGAGTCCTTTGAGGGTTAGGATACACCCTAAACAACCCCCTATTCTTTTGTCTTCGGGTTTGGGTTCGGGGGACTTTGGAGGTTCCAGGTCTCAGGTCTTCAAATCCGGACCCTAAGCCCCAAGCCCCAAACCCCAAACCCGCAGGCCTGGAAGATCTCAGGGTCTTGAGGCTGTGGTTTTGGGGACACTTGGAGGTTCATGGATAGTTATAAGTAGGGTAGCTATAGTTATAGGAGGCTGTGGTTTTTAGGACACTTGGAGGTTCATGGGTAGGTTTAAGCAGGGTAGCTATAGCTATAGCCTAATATAGGGGCCTTAATAATTAGAATAGGGTTTTGGGCTCCTTTATAGTATGATAATAAGGAACCCCCAAAATCGTATAGGTAATCATTTAAGCTTCTAAAGTATATTGGGGGACTTTCAACCCCTCTTAGAACTGCCCATGAACCTCCAAGTAGGAGCTGTGGCTTAGGCCGTGGATGATCTAGGGTTCCGGAATCTAATTTTACGGCTAAAGCTTGAGGGTTTAGGCTTTAGGGTTTAGGGCTTAGGGGTGAAGGCTTTAGGGTTTGGGTTTAGGGTTTAGAGTTCAGGGTTTAGGGGTGAAGGCTTTAGGGTTTAGGTTTAGGGTTTAAGGCTCAGGGTTTAGGGTGAAGGCTTTAGGGTTTGGGTTTAGGGTTTAACCCTGAAAAGTGTTTATGAATAGGGTTTAGGGTTCAGGGTTTAAGGTTTAGGGTTTAGAGTCTAGGGTTTAGGGTTTAGGGTTTAGGGTAGGTAGCTCTTTACAGACCATAAGGGAAATTTCAAAAAGTTTCCCAAGTTGCCACCTGGAGAAGCTTCATGGCACCAGCTTACACTGTTACACACCAGGATAAGCTGACAGTCAGCTTAAGGTGAACCGTGACGATGAGAACCAAGACCACAACAACAGCAATGATCAAATCACCAAACCACGATACCTCCATATCTTGCCCTTGCTCATACCTGGCAGCGGAGAGGGGCCACGCTGCCTTTGGCAGCAATGGTCGCAGTGCTCTCAGACCCCACCCCTAAATTTACTGCAAACCGCAACAAGAAAATCAAGAAGTCCAAGCGGATGGAGCCTCTGGTATAACATACAACACTTACCACCTTCATTCCTTATACACTTACTCGGCTTAGTACCGACCCGCAAAATCATCTCCAGCAGATTCTATCAATTGTTTTCGGTTGAGCTAGCGGCTCTCTTCATCACCAAAATGTTGGCGCGGCTGCTTCTGCTAGCAGCCCCTTCAAGCAGACAGCGTTGTCGTAGGAAGTTTGAGCCTCGAGGTAGAATCCTCATCTGGGCTTAAACCGTGGATTGGTTTTTAATTTTCAGTTACCGTAAAACCCTAAACCCTAAACACGCTTCTATTCAAACCTAAACCCTGGCTAAACCGTGGATTTATTTTTACTTTCCGTAACCCCAAACCGTCCCAAACCCCAAACCCCCAGAGACCGAGATTTGCCTTGACGCGTCGTCCAGCTGGGCGGCCCTCCTGATGCTTTCCACGCGAGGACTTGGGTTCGGGTTTGGGTCTCGCTTTCAGGTGCTCGGGGTTTAGGGCCTAGGGTTTAGGGGTTTAGGGATTTGAAGCGTCGGGTTCAGGGTTTAGGGTTTAGGGTTTAAGGGCTTAGGGTTTAAGGGCTGAGGGTTTAAGGCTCTGGGTTTAGGGTTTAGGGTTAAGGGTTAGGGTTAAGGGTTAAGGGTTAAGGCTAAGGGCGCAGGGTTTAGGGTTTTAGGATTTAGGGTGAAACTTGAACCCTAGACTCAACAAAGAAAGGGACAGGCA